TGATTACAACCAATCATTAAATAGGCCATTCATTAACCATAATAATTGTGTTTAATTTTAATTTAATAATTAATTATTGTATATAAATACGATATTGAGAGATGACGGTACGTTGGTACTTTAATAAATTTCAATATAATAATTTTATCTGTCTAGTATCTAGTTTATCAATTTGAAATAACTACCGCTGCAGTTAATAAAAGTATATATTATATCTGTACAATTCCTAAGACATTTAATACATGTTTGTGTAACGAATGCGGCCCATCAGCTCTTTTTGAAAATAACTGGTGATAGCTTATTGCATACAAAAGTTTAAAACCCTGTTTAAGAAACTGTAAATCTTTGCTTTCTTGAAAAATCATGTACATAATAGGGTACACTTAATAAATGATAATAAAAACAAAATAAAATTTAACTACCTATGTACTATTTTGATCGATTCAAGTATTAAATTAAAAATATATCGACAATTTTACACGTCATTTGTATTGTAGAAACATTAGAAAATATAATGATAATAGATTTTTTTATGAAAGAAGGTCGACGAATATGTTTCCCAAGAAAAGAAAAATTTAAAACACATAGTCTGTTTGTACACTACTTTTGACCACTTAAATTATGTTGGTTACTTTTATTATATCAATTCTGGTACATCTTGACATTTTTACTATAAAATATTAAACACATAAAAATGTTATTATTTTTTTTTTTTTTTTTTTTTTTTGTATTAAACATTTAAAGAAAAAATAGTTAAATTATTAATTTAACGAATTAGATAATGTTTTATTTTCATTTTACTCAAAAAAAAAAATTAATACTGAAATGTAACAAAGATTTAATTTAAAATTGTTAAAAAATCAATGTTGAATAAAAATGATCAAAATTATAATACTTATATAGAGAAAAACACACTAAAGTGGTACAGGCAGAAGTGGGTTGAAAAAAATGTATTTCGTTTCACCGTTCACGGTGTTATTTGTCAGCTGTAATGTAATAGCAGTATAAATTATTATGCTCGTTCAAAAATCTTCCCTGGTTGAATTCGTTTTTCTTACGACAACACCTGCAGCTGTCTGCAGTAGGTATAATATATATCTACTATATTAAAGTGTTTGACAACTCTTTCCGGCTGATTAATCACACAACAATGATACAAGCAGCAGACGACATGAAGGGCGTGCAGTTGTTAGGCAACCAAGTTTCACATGAAAATATCGTGAAAAATGAATATTTTAACAAAGTTTCAATAAAGATGAAAGAAATGGTAGTGAAAAAATCAAAAGATAGAAGTCGTAGAAGAAAATTGAAAAAATTACTTTTTTTCTCGCGGACGATGACGGTTTGACAATGAAACTTTATAGGAAATTTGATTCAATTGGATTCGACAACACAAAATTTTACCAGAAAGAAAAATGGAAAACTGTTAAATCATGTGTACTACACCCTACATCTGATAGGTATATCTCATATAAATATCAAATTCATTATTTTCCAACCGTCGTTACCTTGATAATGTCACAACGAATAATGACGGCTGAAAGTCAAATTAGAGTTAATACCTATGTATTATAATAAATGATGTATAAAATTTCTTGCAATCGAAATGTCATGTGGATAATAAGCCAACGTGAAATGAAAACAAAGTTTTTCGCGCACGATAATTAAATTACAGTAAAAAAAATTAAAAAATATGCGAATAAATAAAAGCATGCCTAATAATTTATTTAGCATTGCTTAATCTATGGCATGTATTTATGCTGCACGCTTTATTTTTTATTTTTTATTTCGTACGTCATAATATGTAAACAGAATCCAAAAATTAATTGATTGCGAAATAATTTAACTGAAAAAAGTGGATAAGTAGGTCTCTGGTATTCAGTAAGCAACGAGTGTTCTTCGTCGTTGAGTAAGTCACTGTAATGTATGTATTTATCTTGAATTTGATGATAAATGATTTCATACATAAAAACAATTCTAAGCGAAGACAGTTTGTCTACCTATATTTTTAAGTATATATTTTTATAAGTATTTTTTCAACTTCTTATCGTGTATATATCCTACATAAATCCTATATTAATATCATTGTAAAAGCAATACATTCATTATTCCGCTCAAATATTAAAATATGAAGTTATGATTTTGAGCACATATTAAACTATCACAGCAAGGCATATTATTTTATTTTTCGCTTCTGAAACTTCAAAGGATAGTGATAATAATTATTTAGGTTACTATAATATAGTGATACTACATTTTACGGTAAAATGTAATAAAACGTCAGCGACAGACAATACATGTTGTTAACGTGCAAATTGAATGTTGAGGTCGGCGAAAATTATAAAATATTGATTACTTTTATTATAAATCGCAAATATCGTACCAACGAAAAATAACCTGTTGCTGTAACCCTAAAAGTAAAAAGCTACTTACCACTTTCTATAATTATGTTTTAATAACAATTTTATAAAAATTATTATTTGTTACCAATTAACACATTTTATAATCCGAGATGATTTTTTTTTTTATATATATAACTGAGGAAATGATAATTTTTTTTAAATATTTAAATCGTCTGCTCTATACAAGTATATTTATCAAAACGTTTTAGGTTGACATGTTTTAAACTATCTTACCTTACAAATTTATTTATTTATTTTTTTTAATAAATTTGAGTATAGATTAGATCTGTAATTATATTATACTATTAAATAAGTATGGATCGACTATGTAGTCCTATGACTACAAAACAGAGCTTGTAAACGTTATAATAACGTTATATTTGACAAAAAACGATTGAAATTTGCAAATGTAATTATATCGAAACTATAAAAATAAATAATTAAATAACACAAAAAAAAGTTTAACGATTAATAAAATATATGATATATTATCAAACAAACATAATTTAAAACGTTATAACATGTAGTACCTATATCATTAAAAAAAAAAATAATTAATTTCCAATTATTTAATATTTATAATTTGTATAACATTTTAATTATAAATAACGGTAAATAACGTATAACAATTTTTTCTTCAAACGCAAACCCTGCAGTGCATAATGTATTGTATCAACTATCGACGTATTGTACTGTATTATACACCATGTGAACCATGTATGTAAGAAATTTAGTAGGTAGTTATGAAAGTAAAAGAAAAATTGATATTGATAATTTTTGAAATGAAAAATCGTTAGTAATAAAATAATATTGAAAAATAACACTTCACTGTAATATGTTATATTATTGTATAATAATTAAATAGAAGTTTTAAACCTTAAATTAAGCACATTATTAAAATTTTGTACCATTCATATAATTTTACACGGAAAACACAATATTTGGTCATTTACTATGTTAACAATTTCATATATCAATGCAAAACATTCAGTGGCAATATTATTATCGTTGCACATTAAATATTATAATATTATAAGTATGTTTTAGTATAATTAATGTACGATTAAGATGACTTTGCCGCTAAAATTAAATAAAACATTTCATTTATGCATAATACTCAATTGTTCTCCCTCTTGATAGTTAACTATATTAATTAAGATTTGAGAACTGAAGTTATGTTGGTCAAACGAAATGATATCAGAAGGTTAATACTAATAACATTTATTTATTTATATTATTTTATACATTATACGAGTATATGGTAATAACATACTGATTCCAGATAAACACACAATAAAGGTATTTAAATTAGTCAACGACGGAAAAGACTCATTATATGTGGGGTAGGGTAAATGGATTTTTGATATATATTGATTGGAGGAGAAAAAGAACGACGTTTCTTAACTGGCATGCTAGGCGTCCTAAAGTGACACCAGATAAATAATAACGGAGAATCAATGGTTAAAATGGATGAGAGTTTACTGAAGAATTCATTTTAAAACAAAATTTATTTTTTTTTTTTTCATATTATCATAAAACATGAGTTAATGCTGAAAAAGAAATATTTACATCTATAATTTTAATTTTAATATATTATTATAATTTATTTGTATTACATAATATATACTATATTATGCTGTGTAAAAATGTCATCTTTTTAGAAAAATAATGAAGTGGAAACGTAGTTCTTTTTGTAATGTGCAAACTTTTTTGATTTGTGAAACAAACAATTTGACTTCGAAAAACAAATGGTTTTTTCCGAATCACTGAGTTTAATAAATTTAAATATTTATAAGTTAAGAGGTATATATGCGTTTTTACGGTAAAAAAATATTCCTGCAATAAATTAAAATGTAATAATATTTAAATATTCTACCCAGTATTATAATTTATTGTTATATATAATTTGACTAGGTAAACGAAAAAAAAATAACTGATTTAAATGTATTTAATATTATAATTTGCTATTGGTTTATTATTTTGTATCTTTAATTTTTTTATTTTTTTTATTTTAAAATTCGATAGAATTGTTATTTATAAAATAAATGTAACCAAATATAATATATGTAAGAAGTGTAGTGGTACTTTGTTAAAAGTGCATAACAGTCTTTTTCATATACATTTTATATTGTTTTTTTTTTTTTTTTTTAAGTGAAATGTATAACAAATATTATTTCTTTTTACAAAGACATTTAAAACATTTCTTTTTTTTTATTTCCTATTTTCAATCTTATTTTTTTTATTAGTTCTATTGATGAATATAATACAGTTAACATACAATTATAAATAATGGAAATAAGAGCTTCATTTCAATAAACAATTCAGAAATTTAAATGATTTTTACAAAAATATAGAATAGTTATAAAAATATTTCTTCAAAGTATTAAATATTCTTTGATTTGTTGTTTTTTTAATAAAATATTTATTATTTTATTCAAATAACTAATCGTAGTCACTATAAATCTTCTAAATTTGATGAATATTATTATTTATTACTAAGTTAACTATGAAGTATAATTTTAATTTATTGATGGAAAACAAAATTAAAGTTTATAAAATAAGTATATTTTTCATATTATATTTTTAATTCTGTTACAGTTGAATCTAACAGTCAATTTGAAGCAATACGTACTTATCTGAAGGAATTAGACGTGATCGAGAATGTTTGGATTGGTTTGAAACGCAATAGTGAGGCTAGTGAATTTACTTGGACGTAAGTATTTTATTTATTTATTTACTTACAATGCGATATTTGAAAATTGACAAATGATTAAAATCCAATATTAAAACTTGAAAATTAAAATTAAAATACACATTATAATAAAAGACCAGATTTTACATAAAATACATTTCAATATTTTTACGCCATAAACAATACGCAATCAAGAGGTTTTCATAAATTATTATTCGATAAAACAACAAAATCTTTTGTTGCATATTTTTGCATATTTTGAGCGTTATTTGTTAATGCATGTTTTTAATTGAAATGCATTTTTCTGCATATTATGGGTACCTATAAAATATTATTTATTTATAAAATAGTACACAATATAACATAATTATAAATGTCATTTGAATTATACTATTATATTTATCGATTACTCATAAAATTTATATGCACAGTAATTACCAGCCCCTCGCGAGGAGTGGATACTTTAGAGAAGAAGTTCCACGTTCGTCGGACCCAGTTTGCGTTGTCACTGACCCTACAGCCAACTTCAAATGGCACAGCTTACACTGTGGAGGACCTGAAGTAGCATCATTTGTTTGTGAACTCCCAGGTATTTATATTATAAAATTTAATATTGTGTTAATTAAAAATATGAGATATTATTAATCTGTTAAAACAAATTTAAGACTGCATACCAAATATTCAGTGATTGAATACCAACTTATGAAAACTTATACCTAATAAAATAATCAAAAACATATAAAACGACTAAATATATTATGATATTTAAGCTTTAAGTGATAAAATAGAAAAATTTATAGATTTTTAAGTACAATATAATAATTTTGAAATTTTTGTGTTTATAACAAATTATATCTTCAAATATCTATATATAAAAAAAAAAAAAAAAATGGAACAAGTGAATTTTGCTCTGCTGTACTGTAGGTATCGAGTGAATCACTGTGATATGTGTTAAATTTGAATTCAATAATTTATATTTATGTATGAAAAACGAATCTGAGTGGAGACTCTAGGAATATTATCAGCCTATATTACCGAGTATATAAGGTCATTTATTGTTAAGTTGTTTGGTATTATTATTAGGTAGGTAAAGTAATTTATTTTATTATTAGTAATACAGTACGTTGAATAATGTAACTCATTTATTAATAACACCAAAAATTAATCAATTTTGTTAAAAACTGAATTTGCTTAGAATTTTTTGAAAAAAAAAATACTGACAATTTTTATTTTTAACTTGTTTTAAGTATTAACTGTATCTTATTTTCTATTCAAAACCATCTTCAAAATTGAAAATCAAAACATTGTTTTGACTATATACTTATTTACACACAAAAAAAAAACACAATATCATTGTAAAATAAATACATTCATTGCTCCACTTAAAATCTAAAATTCAAAAACAGAAACATTTATAATATTTGTAAATAACTTAAAATTAATCTAAATATTTTGAAAATAATTTAATAATTACGTTAATGTTTTTAAAAAACACTTATTCAAATATTTGGTAAAAATATTAGTCTCCACGGTTCTTTCTTTCTTAGTTAGTAACCTAAAAAAAAAAAACACAACATTTTACCACAAACTCTTATTGCATAAATATTTCCATAATATTCAGCTGTTTTTTGATAATTTTTTCCAATTCATAAAAGTTTTTGCATTTAACTACTTTCAACTATTTGGATTACTAACTAAATAAAATTTGCTTCTATGAGTACAACCCACTCTCAGTGTTGCAAAACGTGATGCCTCATGACAGATTTTTATGTAAATGCATATATTTATTGGAATAAACTATTTGAAATATGATGATAAAAGTATGCAATTAAAATCATTTTTTTCAAGATATTATTACCAATTTTATTTTACATATTTTTAACTTTTTTGCTTATAGTATATATTTTTGTTTTTAGCTTATATATTAACGTGTTTTTTTTTCTATTCATACAAATTTTTCAACCTCTTTACGTGTAATAAAAAAGACTAACCACTAACGGAGAATATAGGAAAGGAGAATTTTTTAACATATTATAATGATTAAATTTTTAAAATCATATTTTGGAGATTTTTATGCATAAAAATCCGTTCTCAGTGATGCCATTCAAAAATACATTATCATAAAATTAATAAGTTCATTCATGGCTGTCCTATCTAAAATAAAATAATATTTTTTTATATATATTCTATAGATTGTTTTATTTTATACTGTATGCTCTAGGTGGATTATTAAGATTATTTTCCATGCAGGAAAATTATATGAAGGGAATATATAATGACGTATTATCTTTTCACATAATATGGCTATGTTGAATAATCAGCATTATCGAGTTAGGTCAAGTCAAATCATTACAATGAAGATTAATTTGTTTAAGTCTAAGAATCTGTATTCTTTTTATTATTATTATTATTATTTTTTTTTTGAACTCTAGATATTATAATGAATTTAATTGTAAATGAAACACGTTTATACATTTTCAATAATTAATCGAGGGTATCAAAGTAAAAAATAAATAAATAATTACCTTAAGCATAACGTAATATACTAATACATGATTCAATGTTATATAGTTCCATATTGGGCTTCTAAGAATAATGGATGCATGACAAGTATGATGGAAGGAATGACAGTAACTTTCTTGCCAGAACGTCCCGCCATTCAACTCACTAAGGAATGTAGTCCAGGAGTATCCAAAAACGTTACTTGCAAAGGAAACATGGTTTGTTGTGATCAAATTATTGTTTTTAAATATACAATTACAAATAGTTTTATTTATAAAAAAGCACGTGTTACAAGAATTTTAAAATATGATAGTCATATTAATTTTAATGCAATAATACTTTTACTTTAAATCAGTCCCTTAATTCTAATTTAAATAATATTATATAAAATACTATAATAGGTAAATATCATAAAAGTATATGTATTATACAATAATTTTAATAGGAATTTTACAAATAATATTTAATATAGATGTATTAAACATTGTTTATGCGTATGATATAATTTTAATTTATTTGATTAACTTATTAGAGGGTTTTACAATTGTATGAGGTGTATAGACAAAGCATCTATTCAAAATGTATGATAAATACTTGATATGATTAAAATATTTATTCATTAGCTTGACTAAATTCATTAAAACAATTCTAAAATGTATAACATACAGGATAATATGAACAATATAAAATTATTAAATCTAGAAAATAAGTAACCCTATTCATATACATCTATGTTTTTAATTTTTAATTTTTATACATGTACAATATTCATATTATATGCTATGATCGCTATGTACATTGGACAGATTGTATCATAAATATTACATCATTCTCGTGCAAGATTGTACAAATATTTATTTACCTATCTCATGTATATATATGATTATTGATTACCAAATAGGTAATCATTAGAAGTATCACTAAATTTTATAATTAGCAGTATTACATTGTTTTCAGTATTATTATTTTTAGATACACGCCGTATAAATAAAATCTAAAATAATAATAATCTGATGTAGTAGGTCCATTATACACTTTTAGTTTCTTTGCATTTTACAATACTTTTATAACTGATGAAATAAAAACTACTAAAAAATATAAAAATTAAAATTTAACACATTACTCCGTAGTAACTTACTTACAACATAAACTTAAAGAGTGTTTTTAATTTTTTAATTAATATTTAAATTAATTCTTCTATACTTAAAAATATTTAGTGTGTCGTAAATTTTAAAACCCTCATCGACTTCTTTACACGCTTATAGTTATTTAATTTAATAACAAAATATAATGGTTATCTGTATTAATATTATTAAACAGTAGATATTTTCAGTAAAAATATTTAAATAATTTTTGTAAGAAATTTAATACTATTAAAAGCTCTTTCTTAAAAGAAAAACACTTATAAATACCAACGTATACAATATACATATTACATTTTTATCAAAATATTTGTTGTGTGTATATACATATATATTAGAAGATGTATTAACTATTAATTAAACTTATGATTTATATTTTTAGAAACAATCGGAAATAAATGAAAAATTAAGCTGTCCAAATTCTAATAAATCACTGAAGACATTATTTAAGCCTGTCAAACCTGAACCAGTTGAAATTAAGTTAAGAACAACAACTTCAAGTTCAGATTCAGGTGATATATCAAAAAAAAATCAATTAACCAAAATAAACATAATAGCTATTATTATTCAGCCAATTTTACCTATTGATAAACTTATCCATATCAAATATTTTGGTTACCTATAGAGATTATTAAGCTACACAATTTTGCTAAACATTTTACTATTGATAATTTTGTACATAACTTTTGTGTTTAAAAAAAATCAAAATTTTTTTTTACCATTTTAATTGAATGATGTTTACCAAATTACGTAGCGAGGTAATGAAATTAATGTATATTGTATTAAAATGTTATATATATTTATATAACTTATTAACTAATTAAATTGATTAATAAAATTTACAAATGGTAAATTAATTAATTAATATTACTTAAATAATTTTTATTCATTTTCAATAAAACATTTAATTTCAAAAAAAGACAAAAATAATTTTTCTTCTCGCATAACAAATAAAAAAACATTTTAAATTCAATGTACGACAATAGGTGTATGAAAATTGTCATTATCTTTAGAAACTTCCTATTCACTATAACTAACTAACCCTATTCACAAAAATAAGAAACTACTTTTAATGTTAATATAAAAGGTATTCTTTAATTTCCGTCATGTTATACGCTTAAGTTGTTAAACATGAATCAATTGGCGAAGAATCATACACTACCGTAGAATTTTAAATATTGGCCTTACTTAAATATATAATTACAATTTAGGTTTATATCACAAGTCGCAACGCCTACCAAAACCTGTATAATATGTATATCGTTTTCAGACGTTGAAGACTACGCTATTGAGATGGCCACGATTGCTCAGTACAGCGACGAAACGTTTCAGTCAATATCTAAAGTGATGCGACGTGGTAGCGGTGGCATCATCAACTTGCCACAAGAAATGTCAATTGCTCAAGAACCTATTAAGTCTTTAGGCCGAGGAGGTTTTGACACCAACGGCATTGATTCAGCGTTTATTGGAGGCCAGGCTGAAACCGCTAATACCGGAGCTAGTAGCATCAGCATCAGTACGAGCACTAGCACTAATATCGCCAGCTCTGTGTCCGATAAGAGCACGGTAACTAGCTCCAGCACTACCAGTACATTTAGCACCACACCAAAAAGTGAACCGAAAACTACATCGGCAATGACTAAGAAACAAATGACAACAACACCCATTAAAACAGCTACCGAGACTAAGACTCTTGCCGGTTTAGTCACGCTTGGCACGACGTCCAGTACTACGACCCACGCGACTACCGTAAATAAAGCAACCACCTCATCTATGAAAACAACTACTACGAAACGAATTGTGACAACCGACGGAGGTACTTCGACCGATAGTAGCCAACCGACCGAAACTTTAACCACCACACCCACGACCTCCACCAGTAGCAATCATCAACATCATCACTATCGTGACTACTTAGCCAATACGACCTACACCAACGTCGATGACAACTCTCACGTTTACGCCACCACAACCACTAAGCCCAGGAGCCAACCAACTGCGCAAATGACGACCACTGAGAAGATACACACCGTGGCCAAAATGTTGACCACTGAGTCCGGTAACATCCGTCGGGTCACTGGCAATAGTCGTCGGCCAACCGCTGCCACGCTAGCAGCCATCGCGACAGTCGTTGCAAAAATCCCGTTTACCGTTGCTTCCGCGTCAACTTCTACCACTAGCACTACCGGTCGCCCACTTAACTCATTGCGTTCATACGCTAACTATGGAAACGGATACATAGCCAAGGTGAATGATGCCCCGACTATCGAGCCAACGATTCGCGTATATAAGAAAATCGATTTACCGGAATTGTTGATCAATAACGACCGCGATTACGCCACACACAGGCCCAAAGCCACTTCATTTTCTGGAACCTCGGCTACCACGTTTTCTAGTCCCATAAAGTCCGCTAAAACTGAAAACAATAATGTGGCAACTACGCGGTCTTCGACACAGACGCCGGCCATGACCGCCTCTACCACCATCAGCGCTTCTATCAAACCTGTCGATACCCTAAACAATAGTACATACACTGCCACCGAAACTTCTACTACCAACACCGTATCTAACACGTCACCAGCAGCTATTGTCGTTGACAAATCAAGTGCTGATACTTACAGTTGGAACCTCATTACGTCGTCCCCATCGTCTCTACCCGCCAAAATAGTCAGCGACGCCGCCTCCATGTCCCCATTCGACGTCACATCTTCCACCAGTGATATTGCGACTGCTAATACCGCCGCAGAAGCTACCACTGTCACTGCCGCAATTACCACAACGACTAAAACCAGCGCTGCTAGCACCACCACTGTTGCTGCCACCACCACTGCTGCCGCTAACCACCGGAAAATCGCCAACTATGACACATATACTGACCACCCTAATCGCAACCGTCACATAGTCCGCCCCAAACAACAGCACCACCATTCCTACCCATACATCTTGTACAGACTTTTGGGATAAACGGAATCCTGTCTCTCCTCCCTCTCAAACGCTTCAATCACTTTTACCATGGTCTATTTCCAACACTATTTAATTTCCTGTTCATCTCATATCCGTCGTCCTCACCCTAACCGAATTGCATAATTACAATATTACTGCACAAAATACAAAACACATTCATTATATTTAGGTACTTACTACACGCCATTCTGAATTATACCCTACGAAAGTAACGATCGGGTGCAAACATTTTTTCACAAAGTGCTCAATTCACCATTTTGCTACACAAACTTTTTTATGTTCGAGATAATTTCGGGCACATACTCGTATATTTCAGTTTTCAAAAACCTATATTCATAGCCTAGCGAGTTTACTGGTTGTGGGCACACGACAAATGTTAAACTGATAATTGACAAGCTAGTCGGGTTTCACCAAATAAGTCAACGACGATAAAACTTTCTTTAAACGAGTTCAATCGAATCTATAGTTAATTAATCATTTTTCAATATCTTAATACTCTGCTACGACAAAAATGAAAATTTCACTATAGATACAAACTAAAAGGAGCGTAAGCAAAAACTTCTTGTCAGGCAGTTATATTAAATACAATGATCGAAAATACACCGGAATACAATGATCAAATTCTAAATTCAATATTGATTCCGATTTTCAATTAAAAATAAAACATAAAATCAGTTATAACTTATAACTTCCTTTCTTACAGAGATAATATTGATATTATTCAATGGAAATACTTTCTAATTTAAATTGTTTTTGTTAGTCTTTTGTCATCAGCTTACATTATTCAAAACGCACTTACTTGATTATTAATTATCAACGATATTTTAGATTTGACAATAGTTATGAATTATAATTTATAATGAAATAATATTATATTGCTTTTTCAATTTTTTTCATTCATATAATATTATTATCAACAATTTGAATAAACTATTAATTTAATTAATCAAAATTTAAGTAATTTATAGCAAAAATAAGTACACTATTTAAATAATTAATAAATTCCAATAATATACAATGATATTATAGAAAAAAAAAAATTAAAATTTGAATAGATTAGGTCCTAAATATTCACCTAATTAATTATTTTTATCATCATAATGTAATAATGATAAATATATGTAAGTTGACTCGTTATGAACAGGTACAGTAATATACTTAGATTTTAAGTGCAGATGAGTTCTTTAATATTAAAGACGCAACTACCTATTTCATAAAACTATAAATACAGATACGTAATAATGACTTTTTTTATAAAATTATTGTTACATATAGCAATGATTTTATCAAACTAGTTTTACCAAATCCTCGTAATCAAGTATATTTTGAAACATATAGTAGGTATTTGAAAAATTTTCAATAAAAATGTGCTTAGGTGCGGTCAAAAATTTTATAATTAAATATCATGATTCAGTACACTAAATATTAAAACATTACATATATAACCTATATTATCTTATCATACAAATTTACAAATTGTTCACATCATACAGTGAAACTGTTGAAGTTACAATTATAACATTATTATTATCATCATTAATTATTACATTATATATAAAAACAAATTAATTAATTTATAGTAGCTTGGATTTCAAAAAAGGAAGTATTTTCAACTTTAAAAGTAGTTTTTACAATGAAAAAATTTTGTAGCGTTTGATATGTTTATTGCGTTGGCTAAATTCATAATATTTACAATTTTATATATAATTGTCTACTTATAAAGATAAAAGTATATTTTTTTCTTTTACATAGAAAATATAATCTTAATCTTTTAGATATCTAATAATTTTTAACGAAATACAAAATTTTAAAACCTATTATACCTAGGGTCAACGGATTCTTCTAGAGTACCCGAAAATGTTTGCTTTTATTAATTCAACGATATCATATTGTAGGTAACAGGAAGTCGATTCGTCATTATATAGCTTTAAGATGATTTAATTATTAATTATTTTAAACAATATTGTAGTTTGATATTAAAAATATTTACCTATTTAGTAGTTAGTTATTGAAGGTATTGTGTTTGTCAATTTGTAGTCATTTGTAGTATTTTGAAATATAATAATCTTTGCTGTCTGAAGTCAATTATTTTTTTCATCCTCAACTTTTAAAAGTTAACCACACCTAATCTTTCTATAACCAGTGTCATATTTACGGTGATTCGAGTGATATATTACCTCGGATAATTTCGATTTTGAGCAGAACGATGAATGTATTGGGTATATATAATAATAATGTGTTAATGTATTTCAATTTTTTTTTTAGTGAATCTTTCATCAATTATCGCCGTTTGGATCAGTAAAATGTTTCAATCTTTAATTTTTATTGTAGTTCTGGTTTAAAATTGGATGTTACTTTGGGTGATCAATTTTTTATATAATTGGGAAAATGTATAAAAAAAAAAATGGAAATATCTTTGAAACACTAATTTTGACAAAATTGATTTTGTTACTTTTTGTAATTAAACAACGATTATTGCTTAATGGTTAAAATAAATAGTTGTAATAATAACCAACTATTTTTTATAAATAAAACAATGTTCATCAAATTGTATCACTAAAAAATGTATTTATTTATAGGATGTATTAATTATTATTTATATTATTTGTACACATTTCTAAAAAAATAACTCTTAGTAAACTATGAAAATAAAACTAACTTCTAGTAAATATAATGCTTAGTTTTAAAAATAATGAACTTCAAATATTTATTATCCTTCATTTTTTCGCTGTAGATAACTCTTTAAGAATATCTTTGAAATCTGTTTTTTGCAAAACGTCGTTTGAGAATCGATGATAATTTATCAACAATTTTAATTTAGAAAGGACTTTTTCCCTTAAAGTAGTATTTGTGATCACAAGACATCTATACATTTTTAACGCTGTTGTAAAATTTAGGAATATTGATGCCATCATATTTAAAAAAGTTAATTTACACGAGATTTGTCACAATCTTTTATTACCTATTCATATTTATAAAAAAAAATTACTAAGAAATCGCTGTCATTCGTTCCATCGATGAAAACTTTCTGTACACAACGATAATGTTCGTAATTAAACAGTAATATTAATTTATATTAACTGAGGTTCCAAACTTTAAAGCTCCAATAACTCTTATAAAATTATTATAATAAACATGAGAAAGTTTTTATTTTTATTAGTTTTCTTTCTATAAATATTGATAAAAATTATTTTCTGGGTCAACATTTTTAAAAATTTAATAAAAAATTCCACAAAAGATATTCTCATCTCTGTATAAAAATATTAAAAATACATAAACACAACTTTTTTTATATGTATTTAAAGTTTGAATTTTTAAATCGTAAAAAATTTAAAATACATAAAAACTTTTTTTATACCTAAATTTTAAAAATGCTTAATTAGAATTCTTTTTTTTATTTAGACATTTTAAATTCCAATTTAAACGATAAATAACGATATGTTAATTATTTGTTATAATTTAAAAACATAATTACAGAACTCAAGTTTTTATCTAATTTATATTAATATAAATTTTACTATATGCAATAACATTTTTTGATCTATTTTAAAATATTATTTATTCATAGATAATACGAATTTATTTTTTACTGTTTTTGCGGTATTTACAGAAAATTTTATTAAATTTTGTTTTTTATAAGCTTAAAAATTAAATTAATATAAATATATATTAGTATAATAACTAAATACTAATAATAAAATAAGTGTAATATTTTCAAAAAAAAAAAAAAATTATATCGACATACTAAATACTATTAGTGAAATAAATTATTTTAAAAGCTACCCACATCAAAAAAAGAAAGAAATGAATCGTTTTCTCCCAAAATCATTTTTCGTTTATAATGATTATTAATTAATAGTATATCATTGAATTCATACTTAAAACTCCCGTAAAAGTAACCCACTCGATACCTAATGTTTATCAAAGTGGAACTCGCATCTACCTTTATTTTTGTTACATTTCATAATGTTGTTAATTGCTTTAAAGTCATCATTTATTACTATGATGAACGAATAAAATAATGAGTATATTTGAATAATATACTTATCCATATGGAAAATAGATAATATATATTTTAGCTAACTTAGCTAAGTGAGTGGTAGTAAGGTAGGTAATTACCAATACCTACTCCGCTATTTTGATAATATAATTAAAATAATGTTTATCGGCGCAGAAATAGAAAACAAAATTGATTTTTGCATAATACTGATTTAACATAGAAATTCTCATTTTTTTTTCTTAGTTTTCCCAATTATTAAGTAAAATAATGGAAAATGTGCACTATTGACCTTCATAAGGTAATGACAGGTAGAAAAAAACACACATTATTTTAAAATCAATACATTCATCGCCACGCTTAGAATCTAAAATGTATATATGTATTATATATTACTTATATTTATGAGAATTGCCATACTGTGTATTTATATAAGCCCAGGTAAAACGGCTGGTTTTTATAACATTGTTTTGAAATAATAATCGAGAAAAAAAGTAATAATTTACCCAAAAAATATTTTTGAATATTGCCAAATGTCAATCTCATGTTTTGAGGAGGCATTTGGAAGTTCTACAGCCTCACATAACAAAAGCGATTACAACATTTTGTATTCTATCTGTACCAAATAACGTCTCACAATTACTTTGAGGTAAGTTAAATTTTAATTATAAATTACTAATTAAATTACTCAAATTATGAGAGAAAAAAACAATATAAATTTTATGCACTTATGCGTTTATTATTTGATTAATATTAACCGAGGGAAACTAAAATTAAATAATAAATATGAAAGTGATTGATTTTGAAATAATCATGAATAAATAATGAAGATGAAGAGCTTTGATGTAAATTTGATGGAGTTTGATGGCATTACAAAACAGTTGATTGAGATTAAAATTCTTTGGCTTGAACATAAATATTTTTAAAAAACTGTAATGTTGTTTGTTGGTATGTAATAATCTATTTTTGTAGTTTAATGACAACAAAAATAAAAGTAAAAATGCCTTATCAGGATCAAAATTGATTGAAATTATCTATTTTAGGAAACCATAACAAATTTTAATACTACTCTCTGAAATTGCGTAATATAAGTTGCTTTTTCTGGTAGAGAAGGGCTAAGTTCTTAGAATTTTTTTTTTTTTTAGTAATTTAAAATAGATACCATTACCTTATATATTATCGTCTTTATTACCTTCTAGTCTGTCTGAATCCTCGTTGAGGTACGAATCTCCTTAATCTTCTTATCTATTTATCTAAGATAGTACCTTAATGCGTTTATACATACCATAAAATTTATAGTATAAAATATACTTGAACAGTTATAATACTACATAATGGTTTATCACTATGGTTGATAATAATAGGTATTATCATTATGTATAATTTTCCATTACAAATATGTATCATACATTTATATATGTAGCTGGTAATATAAATAACATATTTTTCTGAGATAATAATGGTACCTACTAAAATGTAAAGTTTTTTTATATTTTTGTATCAATTACCTTAACCCGTCATCGGTATCGGTGTTGCCATTCCACTAACATTCAGCTTATATTAAAAACCACTTGATCAAATAAAAATAGATTGTTTTGAAACTCCATATACCTCTTATCCAAATAATATTAAACTAAAATAACTAAAAATCCAGTACGAAAACATCGATTTGTGGTTATTACCTATGATTCGTTGAATTTCGAAATTGGCGATTATGTTAGCGTCCCGCTCGCACTATACTAACCGTGTCATTATTGTCTTCGTATTACTTTTATACAACAAATTTGACGAAAATTATAAAAAAATGTCCGCATACCGCATGGTTAAGTGAG